TTAATGCTGGTCTCGAAGTATAATAACCTGTCCAGTATACAGATGGAGTACTGGCATATGGAAAGAAATCATCAGTTTTTGTTGACCATTTTTTTTCTGCTTTATTCAAGGCATATAAATAGCATGATGGTGTTGAATAAAAGACGTTAATGTCACTACCATTCTCTTGCTAAGAATATAATTTCCGATAATGTTAATCAAAAACATAACAATGACATACCTGAAGATTAACATAATGAATTAATTTGTCTAAATTTTTGAAGTCTTCATGAGCATTCTGATCAAAAAAATCACCGCCCATTGTCATGATGATATGGTTGGTGGCGTAAACTTCAGCCTAAAATCAATCAAAATAGAATTTGTCGGCAAAACTTCTTTTTAATCAAACTTGAGCTAATGCTGCTCCAATAAATGTTTCAACACGTTCAGGTACGTTATAGTCATGCAAGCTTTTATCATCCTAAAATCATTGAATTAATCAAGAAAATAAACAGTTTATAAACAATGATATACCATTATCGGTTGATCAGAACAGGTTATATCAAAACAAAATGATGGTGGACTAAGATAATAAAGTGGTAGAATACCCGTGAAAAGCCAACTTTGACGATCTATGAACATCTTAATATGAAATTTTGAAGATTTAAAATGAAAATTAATTGTAGATTTGCATTCTTTTTTAAGAAGAAATCTAATTTGATCCAAATAGTCGAAAAAATACTAACCTAAATTAGGATCTGCTTGCCATACCATTTCTCTGGTTCTTTTTACAGAACGATCTATCAGATCGTGATAATCTGCACGTCCAAAAAAATAACCATCAAAGCCCATCTATAGAAAAATAATATCTGCATTAAATATCAGGTCTTTGAACAAATGTAACCTGTGCAAAGAGTGAAGCAACTTCTCGTGAATGACCAAACGGATCGATTTGCCAGCCAATTTTTGGTCGTGCACATTCACCAAATGTATCATGCAAGAATTCGGCACCTAAACTATGTTGATCAATAATCGAATTGTAATGTGTTGTTGCTTCATCAATCATCGACCAACCGCCCGAAATAAACTCCAAACGACCTGCATATATATTTGAATACATGTATTAAATAATAGATAGATCCGACTGATACGAACCTTCATTGACTAATCGCTTGACTGTTTCACGCATATCGTCCGATTGTTGATTCCACCAACGCCAAAAGAAAGCCATTTCAACATAGATAAATCGACGATCGGAATTATCCACCAATGCCTGCACAACTGAATCGAGAATATATTGAACACCTTTTCGAGTAATTTGTCCACGCGCTAAAAGATCAGCTCATTAAATAATTCATGATTATCTTGCAAATTAAGCCATAACTTACATCCATAATAATATTGATCAACTGTTTTTAACCAACCAACATCGTCGTGTGTATGAGCGACAATATGAACATTAAGTTTATCCGATTTACCCAAGTTACATGACTAAAATATATGACTATATATCTCTTTCAAATACTTGATATAAACGCATGCTTTCTCACATCGTAACCACAACCATTTGATAATTTGTATGGTGCTGCAAGACTTTGTATCACAATGAAAAATAGAATTACACAAAACTTTATCATGTACATAATCTATAAATGTTTCTCATATCATTGTAATATCAATGATGGTAACAAACTTCTTACTTTCAAATGATACTCTCTCGAAAAATAATAGAAGTTGTGTGTGCTTCAGTTTGAAACTGAAAGATAAGAATATTATTTATCAACTATTAATCTGTGCCACTCATGCTAAGCAGAGAGAGATGATAAGAAACACCTTTCTTCAATTCTGTCAACATTATGAGCTCTAGTAGTATATTTAGATTTGTAATAGACCAAACCATGTCATTGAAACCTGCAAATATTGGTTTTTCCACTAGTATGAAGAATCTGATTATAACATTGGATTGTATTTATTGAATCGTACTTAGAATCAAAGTAGACAAGTTTACAACAGCTGTTCAAGTCAAAAAATGGTGTGGGTGTGGGTGGATAGTGATCTTCTTTTAACGTATCCATGCCCACACCCATACCCATCTCCAAAAAAGTTTTTAGCCAAATGAGGACAAATTTTGTGCTCTATAACTGGGTCAATATGAGAATTTATGGATAACCAAGGTTTTTCATAAAAAAAACATAAAAATGACTTTTGAGATTTTTTTCCTCAAGCATGTTTCTCGTTATATTGAGTGACTTATGTATGATAAAAGTTTCAATTCAATCGGACTTCGCGTTTTCCAGATCTTAAAATTGTAAAAAAAAAGAGAGACGGAGTACCCTTAATCAATTTAGGAATGAAAGCTAATACATATAATTTTATTGTTGAAATTCTTAGAATTTATTTAAAATCATTTTATATTCTGTTAACAGTTTCTTTGCTTGAATTTATTTCAGATGCTAACGAAATCATTAAACACAACAGACATAAGTAAAGAATATCTAAGGAGAAATATTCTAATAGATCCAGAGTAACCAAATAAAAAGAAGAAAGCAATACAAGGGTACTAACTTAACACACTGATATTAACTGTAATAAAGAAGGGTGCAGGTATGTGGGTGTGGATATGAGCCTAGTGCTCTCTCTTACCCACGCCCACACTCATAACTATACCCACACTTTAAATTCGATATTGTTGCGAATTTTTTTATTAAAATGATGTGTTTTATGTTTGTTTTAGAAACTGTGGTTACTAATCATACAAGAACTGCTAGTCTCTGAGTCAAAATTAAAAAAGAATGTATCATTGCAGTCAAAAGAGTGGGTGTGGATTGTGGGTGCGGGTGTGAGTAAAGAGAAGATCAAGAGCAACATCCACAACCACACCGCACTCTACCCCACCCTGAATTGATATATTCATAAAAAATCAATAAAGTATCAAATTCACTGATAATGAAAGTTTATCGTATTTGTTTCTTATGACATCTTTTTAACATTGAAAAGTAATTGAGGAATTAATAAAAAATGTATTACATGTTTGAATCGTTTTACTTTTATTTCGATATATAGAGTATAGAAACCAATTTGTCAATAAGAGTAAACTTGAACAATTATATTTTGTTCTTTGAAGAATTTTACGATGTAATTCGTTCTCGAACATTTTTTTATATCAATGACCAAATTAACATGTTTAAACAAGTTTTGTTTATCGAATCTGATCAAAAATAGTATGTCTGTAGATTTTGATAAAGATTTGTTAAAGTAACTTTTTTGTTTTAGCGAAATGAAAATTATTCGAAATAAATCTAAAAAAACTAAAAGAACGTCAAGGTGCATAATAACTTTTTTTTTTGAATTTATTTGCTTGTTTTCACGAGTAGTAGTACATCTCTTTATGATTCAATGTTTTAGAGAAAAAACTCTATTAACTAAAATTTGATTACTTCTGTTACGATACGAAGTGATGAAATCAAATAAACATTTATTAAATCTTTTTTACTAATAATTATATCAATTCTTTTTAATAATATAATATGAATTATAACAAAGAAAATGTCGATATAAATGAAGAGAACATCAACTATTCAATTTCAATAACTATGTATTCTGTAATAATAAAAAAACTAGAGTTTGATATAATTTGAATTTCATAACTTCTTTTACGTTTTATCCAACTAGTAGTAGTCAAAAATAATACGAAGATGAACAATGAATTTAAAAAGAAAGAATAAATGGTTGAACTGTTCATATATATTTATAGATTTTCCAATTCAAGCTAAAATAAATATTGCATTTGAACCTTTTCTAAGAATATCGCATGAAAAATCAATAATTATCTTTACAAGATCATATTGAACAATTGACATAGTTTTTTTTTCAAAGAGTCGTCTATATATTTCTCTATATAACGTTTGATATTCGTCAGCTTGAATATGAATGTAAAATTCCTGTAAAACTTATATGCAAAAACATCTCAATAATGTCATATTAAAGCAAATTGTTTAAATAGATTCTATTATACTTTGAAAACTGATTCATATTTCAACCGACATGAATCATTTCGTTTTGACTTTTAATTGTATAGCAGCATAAAAACAAATTTCATTCATAAATCTTGAATTCATAGATTGATGAAATATTATTTATTCAATAAAAAAACAAAAGAGTAAGATAAATTTGTTTCTAAATAAATATTATAATAATCCAGCCTGGATTGAGAAAGTTATTTGTTTGCGTCTGACAATAACTGATTGATATTTTCTTTTTACGTTTTCTTCTCTCTATATATGACCTCTTCATAATAGAGTTGACCTTAATCGATACAACTTTTGTTTCTCTCTTCTGTTCTAACAAAATAAAATATCTCTGTTTAGATTGAAGCACAGATATAAAATTCTATGAATATTTGTGTTTTTTCTTAAACATGTCTATAAATTTGAAGACTTCCTTGAACCCAAAATAAAAATATTAAACATATGAATTCATTGATGACATATTTTTCTTAAAATGTATAAGTAGATTAGTTGCTCATATTAGGTTTTATTTGTAAAACAAAAAGAAAAATATCTTGATTGAATTTTAAATTTTTAAAATTAACGTATGGATCAAATTAAACGAAAATTATCGTTTAATCAATCATTAAAAGAAGATATAAAGAAATCTCGAAGTAAGTTATTCAGATAATCAATAGAAAACTATTTTCATTTTGTATTTTTTCATATTTACATAGATGAATTTGATCAAACAATAACTTCTATTGAAAATTTTTCAAATGAATTTTTCTATGAAATATTTGATTATCTTTATGGTGATGATATATATAAAGCATTTTCAAATTTAAATGATCGTTTTCAACAACTTCTCAATTCTTCAGCTGTATTATTTAAAATTTATATTGATGATTCAAAATATAATGATACATATATGAATAAGTATGAAGAATTTTTTCGTCAGAATAAACATAAAATTTTGTCTTTAAATATACAATTATTGAAAGAAAGTAATAAATATTCCTCATTCTTTACAGTCAATTCATTATTCAATTGTCTTGAATCACTTATTATTGATATATGTGAATCAACTAGACTTATTGCAATTCTTATTAATTTATCTTGTCTACCTCGACTGTTTTCGTTAACTATAGAATTACCTTGTTCGACAAAAATTCTAAATGACACCTATCGAATAATATTTACTTTATCTACATTAAAAACTTGCAGACTTAAAGGTTGGAAAAATGAAGAATCAATTTCACTTCCAATGGCTAGCAATCAAAAACTGAATACTCTTAAATATCTCACTATTGATCATCATTGTACACTCAATGAACTTTATATTATTATTTCTTATACACCTCAACTTCATCGTCTAAATCTTTTATATGATTTTGAGATTGATTCAAATATAAAAACTATTTTACCAATTAAATTATCCAATTTAACATCTATTTCGTTGCATATGAATCGTGTTAATTTTGATGAGTTCGAAATATTTATTAAAAAATTATATTCGTATTTAAAAATTTTACGCATTACTAATCAATCGAAAGATATAACCTTTCTTAATGCTCATCGATGGGAACAGTTAGTTTTACAATGTATTCCTCAATTAGAAGAATTTGATTTACAATATTATGAACAAAGAAATGATCAATTTGATTATTCTTCATATACTCGAGAATCAGATCAATTTATTTCATCATTTTGGATTGAACGAAAATGGATATTTGAAATTGAAATCAATAATGAATCTATTAATTATTTAATTCACCCGTATAGGTACTTTGAAAAACGTTTTTTTTTCTTTTTGTATGGAAAAATATGATTATGACTTTTAGAAAAAGATGGTATGAAAATTGTAATTCTATACCTGATCTTACCAAATTCACTCGATTAACTCTTACGTATATCCTTCCTGATAGTCTTCACGAATCAGTTATAGTAGATATTAAACGTGTTTTAACTATAGCACAAGTATATCATTTGGAAATTCCAGAAGAAAATATTTTTATTGGTGCATTAATCGAAGCTTTAAATTTAGTACCAGAACTTAATACATTAAAAATTTATTCTTTATCATTATATGAACCAAGAAATTTAAGTTTTGAAGAATATATGATTTTATGTTCAATTGAAGATATAAGTAAAATTACAAAAGTGTATCTTGAAAAAATGAATATTATTGAAGAATTTTATTTCTTATTGGCATTATGTCCTTTTATGACGTATTTTAAAGTAGATTCTATAAATGATATGAATATTGAATCTATTCTAGAGAAGATTGTCGAGAAGATTAGTCGTGATTCTAATAATTATTTACGTCGGTTGTGTTTTTATATTCCAATGGCAGATGATAGAATGATTCAACAATTGAGAATAATGATCGATTGTAAAAAACTTCTATTAAATTATAGAATCAAGCGTTTAGCTGAAAATGTATATATAGAATGGCAATGATTAAAAAATGTTTATTGTTGATTCTTAAAAGAATGATTATTTTTAATAAAATAAACAATCTCTGATTTATTAAAGCTTGTCTTAACGTTCAACTTTTGGGCGTGGGTATGGGAGGGTATATTTATAACAATACTCAGGCACTCACACCAATCGGTATCTGATAGCTGCTGCATTTATTATAACAGTCAAAGTCTGTCAAGCGACATGAATACAGTGTCGAAGAAAACAACTTATTAAAATCAACTGATCATATTTCAATATTTTATGTCATTGTTGTCGCGGCACTTAGACACATAAGAGTTAGTTTGAAGGGAAGATATAATAGTTGTTACGTAGTTTCTATTTTAATTTCAAATAAAAATAATCATCCGTGACATTCTGTTGAGTGTTTTTGTTCCGATTCTAACTTTTGAATCAGTAAAAAGAATATGAGCAGTCAAATGGTGAACTTCAAACAGATTTTAATGGTTTCTTTATTTATTTCACTTACATGTCAGTTCAAAATCATTGAAGCTGAGTCACAAAGTGAACAAATTATTTACAGCAAATAATTATTTGCCTATTTCGGTTCAGAACGAAGTACACAAATTCATATTTATTCCACTTTGGTTTTCCTCTAACTTTTCAATAATAAGATTTTCGGTGAACTATAGTAGTATAGGAACTGTTTTAGAAGTACATGGTGTGAGTATTGAAGTAAATCAAACTGCGGATAATTTTGCATTCGCTTATTTTACTCGATACAATTCTAATTGTTCGATGTCTTCGTGGGGATTGACCTGTCTTTCTTCAAAAGAATGATCAATGTGTCCAAGTGAAGAAGAGTTGCACAACTGTTTTACACGACAGCGCTATTGATTATGGTATTGTTATTGGAATGAATCCGAAAGTTAGTCGAGTTTATGTGGCATCAGGATTTTCGACCCATTGTTTATATATATTTTCGAAAACAATCTGGAAAATTAATAATCCAGCAATGAGTGGTCCATTTTATCATAAAGCTCTAATTGTGATATCAGATCAATCTCTGTTGCTACTGAGTCATAGTAATGGAAACGCGTATTTACGAATCATTCATATGAGTATACCAGCTAATGCAACAATGTTCGAGAGCATTATTTCTCGAAAACTGGTGTTGCCTTTGCTAAATCTGTTGCTTTCATCGAGAATAATCATGGATATGCTGTACTCGCTCCCAATCTTCCAACTCTACCATGTTCTTTGTCTCAAATACAAGTCAGTAAACCGAAATTTTCAATGCTACATATTGTTTATGTTTAATCATGAAAATAATCATATGAAGACTTTCAATCTTTTTTTGCACGAATTCATTGAGATTCTTCATCTGATTAGATGTAGTCATCGTTAAGGATAAAAATGTGGAGATCTGATGTATTCGAGGAAGCTACCTTAGTAAAACTAAATTTCCTCTGGAACACCTTGTCGAGATATTTTCTTCAGAATAATTTTGGATCTCTATTTAAAACTTTCATTTGATAAATCGATTTATTTAGGTTTACTCCCTAGATATTGAGAATACAAGTGATAGTTTTCGATCCATATTTGACTTTTCTAACAACCAACAGAAACTACCGGTGAAATCTGGTGGTCTCTATCGTATTTATGAGCTTGTTTCCTGGAAATCTGGAGGTATTGGTGTGATATTGGATGGAATGGGTCTAAACTATGATTTTGACAGTATGATCGGTCTTGTGATTCCTGCGAGTCTACCCGGGCAATATAGTGTCTGGAATGCTCGTTCCAATTAGTACATAAATGCTCCATGCATTTCAGGTACATCTCGAAATACGAGCAGTTTTGGTCCGTGTTTCATTTGTCTACCCAATACAAAAACAACGGATCACGAATTGAATGTATACAATGTTCAACAACTAATCAATTTTGCATTCGATCTCTCATAACACCACTATATTATCAAGTGGATGCGCTGAAAAGTTTTGATCAGATTTATTCCTATCCTGAATTGTCTCACTCCACAGAATTTGACGATATTCTCTTGGATAATATATTAAATTTGGTGACATTATCTTCTTCTTGTCTTCTTTGTTCACCACTATTATGGGCTTCACTCGCCCTAGGTCTTGGATTTATTGTTTTTGTTCTTGTAAACATCTTGATATATTTTCCAAAATGGAAATCTCATCAAAGATTGATGAAGAACTTATTTACACATCTTGATCTAATAAGAGAAGGTCCATTGTGACTGAGTGGCGTTGTTTCATTGGCTATTTTGGTTCTAATTGTGTTTACCGGTATATTCAGCTTTTCATTTATTGGTCTTTATCCAATTTAAAATTGACTTAATCATTCGAGAATGGATCTCATTTGCCATTCGAAACTAATTAACACTAAATTTTCAAGTTCTCTACAATTACTCTCAATAGTAAAGAAAGAAGATGAAAATATGATGTTTGCTCTGTTCAATCAGCAGCAAGTGAATTTACCTGTTCATTTTATTAGTACGGGTTTTCCATGTACTGTTGTAGCAATGCAGTAGAAAATTGATCGGGAAAACTGAAGAGAGTCGAAAAATTTCAACTGTACATTGAATGAGAGATTCTTTATTCTTTTTATCTCGACTCTTTTGGCACAACATCAAATCAGTTTACAATCTAATTTAACAGGACCCGTTTTTATCGGAGGAATTCGGATATGTCTTTTGGGTCCATCAAATGTTCATGATCATAAAAAATACATAGTTAAACAACTTGATTTCTGCCAGTTTCTATTTACTCCAAATGAAAGAATAGCTGTAGATTCAAGTGTAAATATTGAATTGACAAAAGCGGTCCATCGAACTACTCCTTTCAAAATAAATGAAAATCCATCATTTAGTGTACTTTTGGATTCTGACATTGACTAGTCATCTCTATTCCGAATACGATCAAGATTATCGTTATAAGAATATTCAAATGACTCTCCTACTTAACTTAATCGAATCGAAATTTTATATGAAGAATACACAGCAGCCAATTGCGCGAACATAAGAAGTCACTTTTAATACTAATTTATTCTCAAGTAAGGAATGAAATCAAATGATGTTCGGTATGTTCTTGATTTTTTCTTAGTGTTATGTCTCAAACTTTTTGGTTTATTGTTTCTCTTGTTTAAATTAACTGTTGTTGAACTTGTTCAACTTGTTCGACGACGTTCAATTAAAAAAGAAGCAAATATCGAATCAGAAAAACTTGCACAACTACTAGACGATAAAATTTTTCTAAAGAGAATCGAAGATGCTATTAGAAACTTAGAAAAAAAAGAAGCAACACGATAAGACGATAAAAGAAGTCACCATTTGCCAATCAGTAAATCCAACTATTGCTTCGTTGTAGGAGGAAAACAAAAGTTAATCCAATTAGCGTACACATTGAAAATTTTTTAAAGAGAATATACCATCAAACAAATCTCCATCGAAATAAATAGAACATTGCTGTATCCTGTTTTTGATGGAACTTGTATTAGTAAAAGCAATAACGTTCACTTTTTTTTTTGAATGAGATAACTTCGACACTCGTTATTCGTTGAACATTTTCTCAAGGATAGCAGTTGCTTTTCATTTCTGATTGCCACTGATTTTCCTCAAGTTTATACCAAGAATATCCACTTCTCTTTAGAATTTTTCTAAAATAGCATTATGTTCGTGCTTATGTAAGAATGCCAGACAAATAAACGCTACAGAGGAAAAGGTAAACTATACTGTAGTTTTCGAGATTCTTTCACAGTTCCTGTTGGGTTTGAGTGTGACTATGGCTGTTCGGAAAAAATTATATTATATTCACACCCACACTCACATCCCAACTTAATCTATAAGTTTCAGATACATTTAATAGCTGCATACAAAAATTTCAAAGAATTTGGTAAAAATAGTTTTTAGATTGTTGTATTTTCAAATAATTGCCATTTGTTTTTATATATAATATATTTATTTTAAGAATAAAAAGTGTATTGGCATAAAATTTTAATTATTATTTTCAGTGTCTACTTGTCATCTTTACTGTCAGACTTATTTTTCTTGAAAATAGTTCTGTTTGTTGTAATAAAGATACATCTTATTTTCATCCAGTTTTCACTTAAAACTTCTACTGATGCTCTGAGAATGTAATGTGATCTTTATTCACTATTATATTCTCTTATCTCGTCTAATCTATATGTATGCTAGAGGTAGATAACGATGCATTGATAAAGACATATTAATATAATTATCAAGATGTAAGAATTTGAGACTTCATTTCTCTACATGAACAAAATGATATTGCAGCATTTATTATACGTGTTCGCGTGAGTATCAATGAAAAGTTTAACTGAAATCTAAACTTCGAGAATCTCGTTCCTGACTATACACTATTTAAACACGAAATTAAATCAGTTTTCTTTTTCGATTTGTTTCTTTTATTGTTTTAGGTCAGCATATTTATAAACAATCAAACGATTGTAAGCATCAATAAATTTATCTCATCAGCGTATCGTTGTATTTTTTAAATCAAAATTTTTATTGAAATTATAGGTCCAGGTAAACTTAAATGGAACAGAACAGCAACAACAATCATTGGTGGTTATGGTACAGGTCCCAATCAATTAAATTATCCCAACGGTATATTTATTGAGTCAAAAACAAAAATTTTATATATTGCTGACGTTGGAAACCATCGCGTTCAAAAAAGATATCCGAATGGTGAAATTATTACTGCCGCTGGTGATCCACACGGTCGAGCTGGGTCAACACCGGATAAATTAAATTGTCCTGTAGATGTTCTTGCAGATGAGAATGAAAATATCTTCATTTCTGATTGATATAATCAAAGAATTCAATATTGGCAGAGAGATGCCCAAAACGGAACAACAGTAGCTGGAAATGAAAGTTTAGGTGCAGCATTAAATGAATTTCATTTTCCAACAAGAGTCTTAGTCGGTTCAAAAAAGAATATAATTGTTGCTGACAGCCTAAATCAGCAGATCATGCAATGGACATTTCCATATGATCCTAAAAAAAATGTTGGCACAATTATTGCTGTAAGTTATTGATTTTACTTCTATTAAATAAAATAAAACTAATACTTCATAAAAGAAGCTTCTAATTATCTATAAATGAAGGAAGAAAGTTGATACGATGATTTTAATTCTTGTTTTAGGGTGGTAACGGTGCAGGTCTTAATCCATATCAATTAAATAATCCTAATGGTTTATATTTAGATGAACACAATCAAATTTTATATATATCAAATGAGGAATCACATTCAATAACACAATGGGTTATTGGTGATTATGAACCTCGTAATATATATGCTGGTATACCTGGGAGATCTGGTGATAGTGCAATCCAATTATACCGTCCTCAAGGCATAACTCTGGATAGATATGGAAATTTATATGTATCAGATTCATACAACAATCGTGTGCAAATGTTTTGCCCAAATTCTGTATTTGGTATTACGGTTGCAGGAACGGGAGACGCTGGAAGTAGTAGTAATCAATTATCTTACCCACAAGATATAACATTTGATTCAGAAATGAATTTATACGTTACAGATACTCACAATTTTCGCATACAAAAATTTGACAGAATACAATAAAAAATATTTATTAGTCAATATATGTTGAAAGATTTGTCGTTTCCTTTTCTATGCAACTTGCTAATTTTAGAAATAAAACCTACATTGAAATATCGTTTATGGTTTATAAGAGATGTCTACTGAATATGAACAAGCAATCGTGACGGGTTTGGTCCTCGTTTAAGGGACTTATGGGTATGGGCGTAAGCAAAGTGCAGATTTACATCAATACCCACACCCACCCTCAATGGTTTTTGTCTCCATGATGAAAATACACATTTGAGTCTAAGATAATTATTCAAATAAATGGTGAATTTTTAAAATCTTCTTTCAAGAATAAAAAAAAATAAGAGTGAAGCCGTTCTGTTTGTTTTCTTTTCTCCAAATTTTTCTGATCAAAAATGAAATTAGAAGAAGAAACAAAAATCTTGAATATCACACAACAAATAAGAAAGTATTAATAAAACATTCATAGAAAAAAAAAGAAATAATGTCTATTATTTTCAAATAAAAGACTAAGAGAGTTTTATATATAAGTAAATCGAAATTTAACAATTTTTTGTAATTCCGTTTGAATTTTTAACAATGTTTGCGTAAATTCTTCATCTTCTAAGATATTTCCGATTATATTTAAGGTTATTTTATTTAACATCTTGCAATTTTGTCTTAATATTTTCCATTGATCTAAATTTAAGAAATGATTGATATTTTGTTTGTTTATTATTAAATGAATATGTCGAATATTTGAGATATTTTGAAAAAAATCAGCAATTTCTATAAAAGAAAATGATTGATCAAATTGGAAAGTATCGTCTATTGAACACGATGAAGATCTTTTTATATCAATAAGAATATATTCAATGGAATTACTTATTGAAGATTGCAAATAACGTGAAATTTTATGAAAATCATTGCATAACAATATTCCAGAGTGTATTTCTAATTGTTTGACTGATCTTGGGAGATCCATCAACATACAACTTAGACAGTGAAGACAAACTTGATCGTCATACCAAAACGAAATGCGAATCAATTTACGAAAATGTCTTTTGAATCTGAACATTAACTTAATATCATAAAAATTATAAAGATGTAATGAAGTTACACCAAAAAAAACACGTAATGAATTTGATGTTGATTGTATTGGATCAAAATTTCTATTTAAACGTAATGAAACAATTTGTTCGTATTTTAATTTTGGAAGAATTGTTTCAATAAAAGTATCAGACGATAGATAAACCTCAATTTTTCTATTATATTTACGTAGAATTGGAAGAATATTAGCAGAAAATAGACTTATAGCATCATTCAACGTAAGATATTCGAGAATTTCAAAAATAACATTCCAACAAAGACCACTCTTACAAATGAAATCAAATGACTGAAAGAATATTAATACAAATTATCTTTTAGTTTTTTTTTCTATCTATAAAATCAATGTAAACTTACTAAACTACGTTCATTTTCATCGGATTCTGCTTTAAAAAGTGCTAATTTATCAATTAATATCTTTTCAGTATAGATGTTTTCAGTTCGTAAAATATAACCTTGAAGTAATTTTTTAAATTGATATGCGGATATAAATAAATCATTTTTTTTCTCTTGATAAAATCGCATAATTCCAATTAATATTGGATATTCTTTTACATTTCGACTATATGGAAATTCACATGAAAATACATCTCTCCACATATTGTTAAGTCTATATAAAAGAAAATATAATTACTTTCTTCTTTTCAAAACGAATACATTCGTTTCCTGATCATAAGAAACTAATTTTTAAAATAATTAATCAATTATAGATAACTTACAAAATTCTATTCGATTCTAAATTAATATCCCATGACCATACAATATAATTTTCATTTAAATAATCGATAATGTCGAAAGAATCAAATATAGTACTGATCCTACTATTTCTATTTTGAACGTAGACAAGTACTGGACGACGCTAAATTAGAATAAATTTTTTGTCGAATTCTAAACATATCTAAACGAACCTCTTCAGTTTTTGTTGAACTAAAAGCATGTTCGCATGCTTTTTTTAAACAATCCATAAAAAATCTTGGACAATCATCATTATCATCAATAAAATGTTTTCTCAATGATTCAATCACAGTAATTACATTATCATTTGTTTCTCTAGCTGATCGATCACCTATAGATTTATATAACTTATTATATTAAAATTATTTAACTTACAATCTGTGTCAGTGTCATTAAGAGTATTGCTGTCAAGTTCCATTGAAGTATTATATTCCTACATAGAATAAATTAATAGAATTTATTTTAAAATTTCCTATGTACCTTCCATTTATAATTCAATTCGACTATAAGAATGATCAATAATACACAACTAGATACTCGAATTTTGGAAGAAAAATAATCTTCTTGAATAAAGTTTCCAAAGAGATTGTTCTATGAATATATGCAAAAAAAAACAAAGCAATTTCTCTTTTTTAATAAAATAAATTGAGTCATGCTATACAACAGAAATATTTTTGTGTTTGTCAATGAAATGAAAAAAAAATGAAATAGTGGACTGCACATGTTCTTTTTGTTTTGTTGACAAATAAAGTTTGATGCATAAAAAACATTATTACTATTGTTTGCGAAATTTTTAATTTCAACATTATTATGAAGCCGAAATATATTATACCATATTTTAAATAAAACAAATCAATTTTTGCAATAGAAATGATTGAGTTTTTCTTGATTTCCAAATATTTTCTACTCATCATAGAAATCTCTTGTGATTAAATTATAAATGAATATCCACTGATATTATCTTATTATTTTTGCATTTTTTCAACATGCTCATATAGTTAAGATACTACAGCATATATTTACTTGTCTAATTATGACTGATCGATAACTCCAATAAAGCCGAGAATCATTTAATATTATCGTATTTTCCATAAGAATGACGACAATAAAAACAAAAATAGGTGAATTACGCGATGTTGCAAGAAAAATTTTTTCTTCTACGTATTACATAATTTTCATTTCTTAACACAGTTAACATTTCTACTATGATAATTCATCTAGATAGGCAGAATTACAAGATTTACTAAGGCTGTGGATGTGCGTGGGGGTGTAGAGGAAGAAAAGGGGACACCAAGCCACAGCTATATCGATACCCACATCCATAGATCCATATCCACTTCCACACCTCACCCAAACCCATGCCCACAAAAGTTCATGATTTTGACCTTTCTTATTCAATGAAAACAAAGTTTCTTTTATCGAAATCAATGTTCTGTTCTTTATTGAATTTCATAGTTTCCTTCTTTTCTAGTTAGTGAATGTTCTTTCTCTAATTATAATGATTGAACTTTCGTCGACAAATCTATCAGAACTTAGTTAACTTACTAGTCTATACTCGATAGTACGTAAAAATATAATACTACTATTGTCGAATTCATTTTTTTCTTTCCAATCAATTCATTCCAAAATTTGGTTCTGCGTAGTATTTATCCAATTACAATTGATGTCAGAAGAATCTTCAAAGTTATTCGATCAACGACTTTTTATTAATATCAAGGATATTTTGATTTTATTTGAAATATTAATACTTCTGCCATTTTCGTCCTCTACAGTCCTTTAGAATAGGATGAGACGGGCTCGTAGGACCCTAATCTATATTCACAGTTTTTTGAGCTTAGATATACAAAATCTTGTATGTAATATTAATTATTCTCATTAACTTGCCAAAAAAAGGCAATAGAAAAAAATATTGAAAATATTGATAAAACAGTTGTTTATTGTTCATGGATTATAATTGTCTGATGTTTTTTCTTGTTTATGGTACTCGAAATAATCGATAACAGCACAAATTATTTCGAAGTTTCCAACGCGTTTCGGAGCGTGTAACGCAAGAGCACGCGTCCAAAATGCAACATTTTCAAGTGTAGGGACGTGTTCAAAACCCTGAGTGCGTCTGGATGTGTTCATTTTATTCTCGAAAAGTTTAAAAAAAACCCATCACTCTGTGTTGGATTCGAACCGATGCACCATAGTGAACTATGATATAACACTCTAGCATCGTGAGCAACAGAGTGGGAATTTTTCCAACGATAGTTTGAACTGAGATTTTAACCCGTGACCATTGATTAAAAGTCGATCACAAGTAGATCTGAACTATACACGGCTCGACAATATTTATATGTTTATAAGCCGAAAGACTAACTTTTTGAGTTTTTTTTTGGATAGTTCTTAGAATAGTGATATTAGTATATTTTCACCTCATACACGAATATTAATAAGATATAGTCATAGAATAAAAATTAATGTATTCTTTATAGTTATAAATAAAAATATTAAAAATAAAAATTTTTCCATCTACATGCTGGAGAAAAATTTAAAAGTAAATAAAGTTCTGTCTTTGATAAATAAGCAACATTTTCGTTGTGTAAAAAACTAAAATACTTTTTCTTTTCGCCAATAACAGAATATACAATATTATTGAAAGTTGAGAACGGTGCATGGAAATACATGAAACAAATCTTATGTGTACTTACATATTCGTAACTATGACACTACAATTGTTAGAAATTTAGAGAAAATAAAAGATTACGTCTTCATAGAAAAAATTATTATTTGATATGCGTGACTTTTTACAAATTAAGTGTTGACTTACGTTTTTTTATAACTAAAAAATTACTTATTTTTCATTTTATCAAATAATGAAGCTTTTCTTTTTCTTGTTAATCTTAATCTGATAAAATGAAAAAAATTTCATCTACACTCGTGTTATTTATTTTGAAGAAGAAAAATAGAGATAGACTAATATTCTTATTTGAAACCCTATCTTGCTAAACTTTAGATAAAGTCAAATAGGGGAAAATAAAAAGATAATTCATAAAAATGATTTTTTGATATATAAAATAGATGATAAACTAAACAATGAAAGCGTTAAGATCTCATTGGATTGTTTATACATTATTAAGCAGTTTTGAAAATGCGGTAGAAAAAGCATAACTTTTTTGTCAACAGTTTTATATTTTCAATAAATAATGTGCAAGTAAAAAGTGAATATGACAGAGATACTTGTGGAACTTAGTTAATTCATTACGACAAGTACGACTTCGTTAAAGCTTCATGGCGACAATGAAACATGAATACCAGAATCCAGTTCTACAGCGACATAAATTGTTGGAAATTTTTGTAAGCTTTGTAGGGAAAAAAGTTAAAACACCCATTCACGATAACCAGAAAGCGAGTGTACTTTGTCTTGAACATACATGAGTTTAGACATCTATGGTTGTTTGAACGCGTTCAAGTGCGTCAAGTAATTGCTTATAAACGCAGAGAGATGCGTAAAAGTATAAAAATGGTTATATGAGCAGTAAAAAGAACGTTGTCCAATTATTCTTAATCCGATAAAAAGAGACAGTTTGTAGTACAGAGTATTTAGTTTGACTTCAGACTAATTGCATCCTCGGAAATTAATAAGAATAACACAGAAGTTCTGAAGTTTTTCAAAGGATAGCTGCTTGCTTACATATTTCACGCAATACTAGTAGAATACATTGAAAACTATAGATTATCAGAAGTGGTTATTTTTACGAATGCTAAGTACAACAAGACTTTAGCGCAACTTCTTAGTAACGTATTAGAGAATTCTCTAACTCCACTTCAATGAAAACCAGGTAGTCTCGTTTACAATATGAAGTCTATTGATATTTATTGTGATGAAACAGCCTGCATAGGATGTGGGGTGTGGGGGTGGATGTGGGTGAGTGTGTGTGTGCTTGAAGAGAATAGCTATGCTCACACCCACAGACCCACTCACACCAACACCCACCCACACACTCACACCACCCACACCCACAGACCCACTCACACCCACACCCACACCCGCAACACATAAAAGTACGACACGAGGAGCTCACTGCGACACATTTTCTCCAGCAGGACCACGACACATTACATACGACACATGCGAAACATTTCCTATTGGCCCTTTTGGAAAATCATATTTTGATGCTTTTTCAATTCAATTCTATTTAATTATTCCTATCCTGAAGACTCAATCTGGTCAGATCCTGGAATCTATCCAATCTCGAGTTGATCTGATTTGTATCAAACCGCTTCAGAGTAGTCCTCTCACGATCATGGATCGAGATCGGAATTTTCTCGATAAATAGAAATAATCGATAAATAATCTAGAAAATAAAAATAATTTGAAGTTTTTTTTCTATGTTCAACCACGTTGTTTATAAATCACCAAGAGAGCATAATAAAACGGTGAACGAATAGTCAGCAAACAGAACGCGACAAATTCGTATACGACACATTTGTCTGCTGGAGTGTGCGACACAGTAATTCACGACACATAAACACGACACATTTAAATTTAGTGTGTAGTCCTGTTAACTGGTTGAAAATGATCGTATAAGATCGAAGATTTCCATATAGAGATCGATCTGTTTTTCAATTGGCTTTCGAACCTTTAAAGCATAGGGTTTTATGTTTAATTAGAAGTTTTGACTTCATAGATTAATCATAGTAGGAGAGTTTTAAGTTAACGTCCTTTGAATTACTAACAATGGACAAGATTCAATAAGCGTCTATCGCAATGCATGTTGCTAGCTTGTGATTGTATCTATCTGCAATCTCACCCTCACACGCTCATCTCATCACAGCTTGCCCCACCCTCTTATGATTTAATTTAATTTATTTAAATAAAAACATATAGATCCATTTCTTGCCAACTGACGAGTCCCTTGAGCAAAGACGAAACCGATCTTGGTAGCATTACTCCAAGCCTTCATGCTAGAGCCGGATATTTTTTTGACCTGTGTGTTTTTTTTGATCTTAGACAAACTGACGAGCAATTTCTGTTCCCACACTCATCTTTTCAGGATTGAGAATAATTTTTCATCCGATACACGTTTTCACTTCGCATTTGATTGATAGCAGAAAGAAACAAAAAATGTATACCAATCGCGTCTGTTATTTGAAGAACGCAAAAATGATGTATGACACATATTTTTTCATAAGAGTGAGTAACATTGTATGATTCTTTTTTTTTTTTGTTGATTCTTATATTATGCATAATTTTTCAATAGCTTTCATCAGCAATTTTCAAAAAAGCACCAAAAAAGACCGTTATGATGATTGTTTTGGTAGTTTTTGTGTAAGTAATAAATAGGACGCTAAAGCCGAAATTTTACATAAAAAACATCAGCTAGCTTTCATCAGACGGATGTCAGTAAGTGTACAATAAAAGTCTTTTGCAGT